GCGTTTAGCAACTTAGTTGATGACATTCTTCTGCAGAGATGTTAAATAAAATGCTAAACCTAAATTATTAAGCTTTTTTTATTTAACGTAAAATCTGTAACTTTTTTTAATAATACTGATTTTTTTAAGTTGTACCTCTCATGAAAATACATAAATACATGTTCCAGATGAAGACTAGGCTGTCCCATGTCACAGCTGTTTTATGCAGTGAACATGGACAACTTGTGGTCTACACCGGTCACATTCTACGTGGGGCTGCAACCCATGAGTTGAGACACAGCTTGTGTCATGTGAAATTGAATTTAAATTTTGAAGATTGAAGATGTTTTAATACTGCGGGTTCATGCAGACTAGCTGGTTTTAGTTTGTCAATGCAGAACAAATAGAGTCGATCTCAAAATGAATGTTCCTGTCTTAAAGCAACTCAAAGCTTTAACATTTACTGGTGGTTCAAACTAATTATTATTTAAAAAAATCGAACGAAATCGTGTTTGAATTACACAAACATTTTGGAAGCTATTTTAAGACAGCAAACAACTTTAATATTGGCTGTTTTTAAACTAGATGTTAGCTCATCAGCTTGCGTACAAAATCTTTTGAAAGTAAGAATGTTTAAAGTGCAATCAACAATGGGCAACATATTAATTATTATAAATTTTACAAAGAAATTCACCTCAAAAAAGCCAAAAATATTCCTTTAAAGAGCCTTATGTTGATAAGTTTGTTCGTACTCATGCATATTTTGCGTGTAAGTTGGTTTCTTTCAGGCTAATCAGTGGTTTCTCCCTCCTACTAAAACACTTGTTCGTCTCTCGGCCCCCTTTGCCCTCCACTGCATGTCACCTCTAATCCTCCTCCAACAACAAGCCTTCATTAGTGCTCTTCCAATCCTCACATCCCAGACACAGCGTTAAGCCTGGCTGTCATCTGATAACCAGCTACCATGGCTTCTTCTGAAAGCTCTCTGAGGTTTTCATTTTTTCCCTCTTTGATGAGGAATGTCTCTCTTTTTCTTTTTTTCACTGAATGGCTAAGTGCTAAGTCTTCCTGTTTTGGAAAAAGAGGGACAAAGTAAAAGCTTTCCAGAAAAGAAGTGAATGAGCTTAGAAAGAACTGTGGTTAGTGGTATGAAGACATAAAACCTTCGCTCTGTAATGAGGAGCCGTTCCAAGTTCTGAAAAACCTTAGCCAGGGTCAAGCATCAAGCCTGAACTCAAACAACTCTATACCAGAGACACTACGAGMTTATGAGAGGAATGTGTATCAAAGGCCCCTCTGGCCGGCAAGATGAACTTTCCCAAGGAACTCGGCCCACTAAGGGGAAGCCTCGGGGCAACTGTCACATCACATGACATGCCAGCAGATAACACCTTCGAAGGAACTGCGCAGAGCAGTCAGGCTTATATGCACCACATTGATTATGTGTCTATGTGCGCCGTAAATCCATAGCCATAGACAGGAACATGTTTTAATCGACCCAAYGGTGACTGGCCAGAGGCAGGAAAGAAAGAAAGGCACACGGGAACAAGGCTACCAAGGGAGAAGAAAAATGAAAAGCCTACAGACAGTTGCGCATGCACTTAGGTGCTCTGTGTTTAATTTGATCAGCAACTGAAGTCAAACAAGTTTACTTTTCCCTCACATTTCATAAAACTCTAAATGAACAGATTGGTTTTGATGTGGAAATCTTCACTGATAAGGTTTATTTTGCTACAAAGTTGAAATTTGCATGTCAGTCAGTGGATGGATTTAATGCCTCCAGGGGAGTCTCTCCTTAAGCTTCAGATGTGGAAATTCTTCTCTGGGAGCTTAGAAATTTGCACAAACTCTGAAGTKAGATTAGAAAGCTCCAGAGGACAGTTAAGACATTTTAGAGAATGATAGACGGAGCTACAAATATTGATACTCAGTTCTGCCCACGGCATCGGGACATACGATACGATAAGCTTTATTGGCACATCTTTGACAGATATGCAAAAAAAAAAAGGCAGGAGAAAAAACACAACAGGAAGATGAAGAGCAGTTCTTGAAGCTCTCAACTCAAGATGTAGTTGATGGAAAAAACATAAAACAAAGATGGGACAAAAATTCTCAACAAGATTTGAAGCTGTTATTCCTTATTCAGACRTTAGTATGGGTCATAACTGATTTAATGAAGCATAACATAAAAATAATAAATACTTATATGATTTTGTTAAAATCGGTTAGCTAAGAATAATCAACAGTAGCTAAGGATGAGTTCAAACAGCTTTGTGAGGTCTGAGTTAAAAATGCATACAGGAGATGAAAAAAATGAAAATAAATGCAACAACCTGAGAAAAAAAGAAACTGACAGAAATCGRATGAGTCAAAGGAAAGGGTTGAGAAAGGGCAGGACGAACGTGATGGGTCACAGGCACGCAGCAGCGGAGGCAGAAACAGACAGATGAAATGAAGACAAAGGAGAAAGAGGGATGATGTCTCACCGTGGCAGCGAGTTGTACTGCCTCTGTGCTTGTTGGAAACCGTCATCCTGCTGCTTCTTCTGGACCTGAGTTTCTACTGTTACAGAATGGCGTCCGCTCTGTGGCTCGGTCCCGTTGCCAACCTGTTACACATACATAC